CTAGGAGATAGGATAGAGATAGAGGTAGAGGTAGCGGTAGAGGTGGATAGAGGTAGAGGTAGAGATAGATAAAGAGATAGAGATAGAGAAATAGAGATAGAGAGCGAGAGAGATAGAGAGAGAGAGAGATAGGGATAGAGAGCGGTAGAGGTAGAGGCAGAGATAGAGATAGAGATAGAGTAGAGGTAGAGATAGACATGGAGATAGAGATAGAGATGGAGATAGAGATAGAGATAGAGTAGAGGTAGAGATAGAGATAGAGATAGAAATAGATACAGAGATAGAGATAGAGATAGAGTAGAGGTAGAGGTAGAGATAGAGATAGAGAAAGAGAAAGAGTAGAGGTAGAGATAGAGATAGAGATAGAGATAGAGTAGAGGTAGAGGTAGAGATAGAGATGGAGTAGAGGTATAGAGATAGAGATAGAGATATAGTAGAGGTAGAGATAGAGATAGAGATAGAGAAAGAGAAAGAAATAGCGTAGAGGTAGAGATAGAGAAAGAAAAAAGAAATAGAGATAGAGATAGAGAAAGAGGTAGAGATAGAGTAGAGGTAGAGATAGAGATAGAGATAGAGATAGAGTAGAGGTAGAGATAGAGATAGAGATAGGGATGGAGATAGAGTAGAGGTAGAGATAGAGATAGAGATAGGGATGGAGATAGAGATAGAGATAGAGATAGAGATAGAGCAGAGGTAGAGATAGAGATAGAAATAGAGATAGAGATAGAGATAGAGTAGAGGTAGAGGTAGAGATAGAGATAGAGATAGAGAGATAGAGATAGAGATAGAGAGATATAGAGATATAGAGATATGGGGATATAGAGATATAGAGATATAGAGATATAGAGATATAGAGATATAGAGATATAGAGATATAGAGATATAGAGATATAGAGATATAGAGATAGAGTAGAGGTAGAGATAGAGATAGAGATAGAGTAGAGGTAGAGATAGAGATAGAGATAGAGATAGAGATAGAGATAGAGATAGAGTAGAGGTAGACATAGAGATAAAGATAGAGATAGAGGTAGAGATAGAGTAGAGGTAGGTGGAGATAGAGATAGAGATAGAGATAGAGATAGAGATAGAGATAGAGATAGAGATAGAGATAGAGATAGAGATAGAGATAGAGATAGAGAGAGAGATGGAGGTAGAGGTAGAGGTAGAGGTAGAGATAGAGATAGAGCTAGAGATAGAGATAGAGATAGAGCTAGGGATAGAGATAGAGATAGAGATAGAGCTAGAGGTAGAGATAGAGATAGAGATAGAGGTAGAGATAGAGGTAGAGATAGAGGTAGAGCTAGAGCTAGAGCTAGAGCTAGAGATAGAGATAGAGATAGAGATAGAGGTAGAGGTAGAGGTAGAGGTGAGATAGAGGTAGAGGTAGAGGTAGAGATAGAGATAGACATAGAGATAGACATAGAGATAGAGGTAGAGATAGAGATAGAGATAGAGATAGAGGTAGAGGTAGAGGTAGAGATAGAGATAGAGATAGGGATAGAGATAGAGATAGAGACAGAGATAGAGATAGAGATAGAGTAGAAGTAGAAGTAGAGGTAGAGATAGAGATAGAGATAGAGGTAGAGGTAGAGATAGAGATAGAGATAGAGGTAGAGATAGAGATAGAGGTAGAGATAGAGATAGAGATGGACATAGAGATAGAGATAGAGATAGAGTAGAGGTAGAGGTAGAGGTAGAGATGGAGTAGAGGTATAGAGATAGAGATAGAGATATAGTAGAGGTAGAGATAGAGATAGAGATAGAGGTAGACGTAGAGGTAGAGATAGAGAAAGAAGATAGAGAGGTAGAGATAGAGATAGAGAAAGAGGTAGAGATAGAGTAGAGGTAGAGATAGAGATAGAGATAGAGTAGAGGTAGAGATAGAGATAGAGATAGGGATGGAGATAGAGAACGAGATAGATACTGATAAAGATAGAGATAGAGATAGGGATAGAGATAGAGATAGAGATAAAGATAGAGATAGAGCTAGAGGTAGAGAGATAGGGATAGAGATAGAGATAGATAGAGATAGAGATAGAGATAGAGATAGAGGTAGAGATAGAGATAGAGATAGAGGTAGAGGTAGAGGTAGAGGTAGAGATAGAGATAGAGATAGAGATAGAGGTAGAGATAGAGATAGAGATAGAGGTAGAGATAGAGATAGAGATAGAGGTAGAGATAGAGATAGAGATAGAGGTAGAGGTAGAGATAGAGATAGAGATAGAGGTAGACGTAGAGGTACAGATAGAGATAGAGATAGAGAGGTAGAGATAGAGATAGAGATAGAGATAGAGGTAGAGGTAGAGGTAGAGGCAGATATAGAGATAGAGATAGAGATAGAGGGAGAGATAGAGGTAGAGGTAGAGGTAGAGATAGAGATAGGGATAGAGATAGAGATAGAGGTAGAGATAGAGATAGAGATAGAGCTAGAGGTAGAGATAGAGATAGAGATAGAGTAGAGGTAGGTGGAGATAGAGATAGAGATAGAGATAGAGATAGACAAAGAGATAGAGGTAGAGGTAGAGGTAGAGATAGAGATTTAGCTAGAGGTAGAGGTAGAGGTAGAGATAGAGATAGAGCTAGAGCTAGGGATAGAGATAGAGATAGAGATAGAGCTAGAGGTAGAGGTAGAGATAGAGATAGAGATAGAGATAGAGGTAGAGATAGAGCTAGAGCTAGAGCTAGAGATAGAGATAGAGATAGAGGTAGAGGTAGAGGTAGAGGTGAGATAGAGGTAGTGGTAGAGGTAGAGGTAGAGATAGAGATAGAGATAGAGGTAGAGGTAGAGATAGAGGTAGAGGTAGAGATAGAGATAGAGATAGAGGTAGAGGTAGAGATAGAGATGGAGATAGAGATAGAGGTAGAGGTAGAGATGGAGATAGAGATAGAGGTAGAGGTAGAGGTAGAGATAGAGATAGAGATGGAGATGGAGATGGAGATGGAGATAGAGATAGAGATAGAGGTAGAGATAGAGATGGAGATAGGGATAGAGGTAGAGGTAGAGGTAGAGATGGAGATAGAGATAGAGGTAGAAGTAGAGGTAGAGATGGAGATGGAGATGGAGATAGAGATAGAGATAGAGTAGAGGTAGAGATAGAGATAGACATAGACATAGAGATAGAGATAGAGGTAGAGGTAGAGATAGGGATAGAGATAGAGGTAGAGGTAGAGGTAGAGATAGAGATGGAGATGGAGATAGAGATAGAGATAGAGGTCGAGATAGAGATAGAGATGGAGATGGAGATAGAGATAGAGGTAGAGGTAGAGGTAGAGGTAGAGATGGAGATAGAGATAGAGATAGAGGTAGAGGTAGAGATAGAGATGGAGATAGAGATAGAGATAGAGGTAGAGGGGGGAAATGGGATTGTATAGGGAAGATTTAAATAAAGAAATTAAGAATAAGAAGAGGGGGGGGATGGAATAGGGATTTAGAAAGAGGGGGGGGAGAGGGGATGGGGAGAGGGGGAGGGGAGGGAGGGAGGCTGGGTTGAGATAGAGGTAGAGGTAGACATAGAGATAGAGATAGAGGTAGAGGTAGAGATAGAGATAGAGGTAGAGATAGAGATAGAGATAGAGATGGACATAGAGATAGAGATAGAGATAGAGGTAGAGATAGAGGTAGAGATAGAGATAGAGGTAGAGATAGAGATGGAGATAGAGATGGAGATGGAGATAGAGATAGAGTAGAGGTAGAGATAGACATAGAGATGGAGATAGAGATAGAGTAGAGGTAGAGATAGAGGTAGAGATAGAGATAGAGATAGACATAGAGATAGAGGTAGAGATAGAGGTAGAGGTAGAGGTAGAGGTAGAGATAGAGGTAGAGGTAGAGGTAGAGGTAGAGGTAGAGATAGAGATAGAGATAGAGGTAGAGGTAGAGGTAGAGGTAGAGGTAGAGGTAGAGGTAGAGATAGAGATAGAGATAGTCATAGTCATAGTCATCATCATCATTTCCGTCCCTTTCGCTCCTCCATCACCTCATCTTCGCTGCTCGGGAGATGCTGCGGCTCCGGAGGCAACGGTGCGCGGCCGTGACGCTGGAGGACTCTGAGCTCCAGGCCATCTTTTGGCCTCCGGGGCCCAAAAAAAATGCTGGGAATCATCTGGAATCTATTATCTATTTCGAGATATGTACAGTATGTATAATATGTATATATTATTTATATATGGATAGATACTATATATATATATATTCAGGTTATATTTATATACAGTATATATATATATCATATTCATATGCAGTATATTGCAGTATACACAAATTCAACACCCACACTAAAGTGCCAAGACCCACACTGCAACATTATCACAATCGGTCAAGTGGGTCAAGACTGTTCAGGAGTGAGATCAACAATGTCATGCAGCAAGACCCAAGCAAATCGGGTTCAAGGGAAGCACCGGCTCACACAGTGAGCAATTTGTCCAACCAAACCTACACAATGCTGTAGATCAGAGTTCTAAGAAAGCGAAATCCCATCCTGCCTTTTGCTATCAGCTCCCACAACTTTCAAGAGGGTAGGTTTCTCCGCTTCGAGCTCCTTGTGCTGTCGAGGTATGGGAAAGAGATGAAGATCAATCTGGCAGCTCGATCTGCATCAAAAATGTGGCTCGAAAGATTCCCCACTTCTTTGGCCACATTTGAAAGTTGAAAACATGCAATTCTGAGAGCCAATAATCTTGCCCAGAGAGGAAAAAATTGACCGATCGGGAAAGATTTGCTGTGCAACGGCTCCTCAGAGCTTTCTTCGCTATTGGCCAGCGCAAGCAGGCCAAGGAGCGAGCATAAACGAAACATGTGAACTGGCAAGCAACTTTCTCTCACTTTTCTATCTTGCTTTGAGCCAACATGGCTGATGGAAATGAAAACCTGCAGAGCTGGTGGTTTCCAACCAAAGGCATGGAAGTTTTGCCACGGTCAAAACACAACATGTCTGCAACAATCTGTGTGCATCATTTGTCGTAGCTCTGTTCCCCCCATGTTTGAATCTTTAGCTCCCAGCCATAACGAAACTGCCAAAAGAGACCTGAACGTCAGCTCCGGAGTTCTCAGTTGGACCTAAACATACTGCTAAATACCGTCAACCACGTCACCTATAACTATAACTATAACCAAATAATTCCCGATAAATAAGAGTAAGTACATACATTTGACATCCTCAAACTGTTCGAGAAACGGGGCGACCCAGCAATGTGCTCTTCCAAGTCTGACGCCAAGTAACCAGCAGGGCAAGGACTACGCGAGAAATGCAAGAGTTGGGATTGGTGTGCTCGTCTTCTTTGATTTCAATTCCTGAGTGTGTCAAATGTGCAGTAGCTTCAAGGCTCACAGTGACATTTCTTCAGACTTGTGTGGATTTATTCAGTCCCTTGCCCACACCTTTTTCAGATGCACTTTTGTTTCGTCGAAAATGATTGGCTACTTGTACACAACGTTTGAAAGGTGGAAAACATGCCGGTTCTCCGAGGTTGGGTTGGGCCAACAACTTGGACACTTCGACATCAATGTTGAGACACTTCGACGGCAAATGCACCCAAGGTGCCATACAAAAACCACTTCGATGCATACCTGGCAGTGCTGTGCAAGTCTACAAATGATTTGCAAACAAGATCTTTTGCCATGGCTCAAAGATATGGCCATGGCTCAAAAAAGAGTATACTCAGACACCAAATCAACCCCTTTTTCTTTAGGCATAGGGGCATTTTCGGTAACCAGTTTTGCCCATGTCCATCAGCCTTAGCGGCCGAAACGCGGCCAAGAAACAATCCGCACCATGAGGCGGCGGTCGCAAAAGTGCTGCTGGCAATCAAGATCCATCTCGTCCTTGGAGCCAAGACCGTTTTCTGGGATGGGAAAAAATGGCTGTTTTTTTGGGGGTCGAAGACCCCACGGTTTTTGGATGAAAAACCCTGAGGATTTGTTTTTTTTTCATGAATTTAACGGTGGATTGTTTCTACAAAAACACCCTTCGATTTTCAACTGCAGTGTGACACTGCAGGATGTACAAAAAGAAAGTGGCCTGATGTTAGCCTGATGATGCCATGAAAACATATGAAAACTACATTACTTGACTCCTTCTCTCCAGCACAAAGTGCTTGACCCAGGACTTGCTAACCCAGCAGAAGTGTGGCAGCTGACACCAGCTGAAGGCACGCTGCTACAGTAACTCCACAAATGTTTTAGTGGGATTTTCCCAACTTCTATTCTATCTTTTCGGAGGTTGCTGTCACAGCATATCACAACCATGATCAGCATCAACGGTTCTGTCCAAGTTACAAGTAGTCCCTGCGCTGACTGTCTTCCACAATCGCAAACCTTCCTTCTGCTTCTTGTCCTTACGCCAAGTTTTACCGCCAAGGCTCTTTGTAGTATTTCGCCCTCACTGCAAATGAAACCAGAGGTTTTTGGCGTCACTCGTCTGAAAACGTGACCTTCAAGGGATGTCAAGGGATCACGTTTGGTCTTGGTCCTTCTTGTGCCCTTTCATATCCTTGTCCTTTCTTTGGGCTTCGAAACCTTGGGGCCACTGTCTGAGACACTCTGGTCTGAATTCCAGGGTGCTTCAATGCATGCAATGCATGACTGCTGCATGACTTTGTTTGAAGCAGCGTAAATTTGACACAACGTCCATCACACCAGATCTGGAAAGAATCTGGAAGAATGAAGCCCATCACATTCATACCAGTCTTCAGCTCAGCCATCAAAAAGGAATCATCAAGTGCAGATGTGCCACTTAGTGAGACAGACCAGAATGAGAATTGAGATTAATGCGAAGATCAGAGTTGCACAACCTGCGGTGTGACGATGGTTCTCATCAGATCTGGTTCTATGGAGCTCTTAGCTCCAGTGAAGCAGCTGGGTTCTCTCGGAATTCCGGAATTCAGGGATGGGCTCTGAAGTTATGGTCATTTTTCAGGGACACGAGGCGCAAAAAAACATCCAATGGGATACCAAATGTTGAGACACCCCCAGCATCACCGAGATTTCGAACGCACGTCGTGCCATGTCCTGCCTATGGCAATCTTTGCATACATCGCATGATCCACCACCGGAAGCTCCAAACCCAGGACATTGGCCATCTGCTTGGTGAAGGCGTAACGTAGCACCACCTGAGAAAAAAAACTTGGCACGTGGTTAAAAATCTGAAAAATAACCAAGAGATGCAAAGCAACACTAATACGTTGAGTGCACTCAAAGCTCCGGACTTTCCACCAGCTGACCACGATCAGTCTGTTTCATTGTGTTTCAATTAGAGACAAAAAAACAAATAGCTTAAGCACAAGTCCAAACGTCCTCAAACTCCAGAAGCAAAACCGATATCATCAAATGGCAACAAATCTCACCAGTGTCCACATTACAAAAGGGCAACATATCCCAAAGGCTGGAATAGTCGCCAGGCACATGTAAAAACAGCCACATCCATCACAACTCGTGACTCAAGGTCTAATGCCAAGGTTGCCAAGGCACAACTGAAGAGAAGGAAATGCCGATGGCAGCAATCTTAGGAATGGAAATCCAAATTGGAAGCCGGCGACACTTTGGTAAATTCACTATGCACTATCTCTTCAGATTTGCTACATCAGCACGTGCGTCTCAAAAGTTGCTTCCTAAAATCCTACAAAACTCATGCCTGGACCTTGGTGCACCCTTTTAAATGTGCTTCACACTAGGCAGCGACGTGCATTCAAGGCATACAGAGATGTTTTGGCTTGTCAAACTGATCATATCTTGAGCTGCGAGGCATCGTCTTCTGCTTCCTGGCAGTGGTCGGCTGAAGCAGACAAGAAAATGCAGTACGCATCAGGAAAATCAAGGAAACTCGATACATGTTCATCTCACTTGAAGGAAGCAATTGCTCCCACCCAACTCACTCTTTCTGGATAAATATTATGGGATGAAAATACATATAACATAGATATGCATATATATATATATGTTATAATATATTGTCTAATGCGCAAGTATGCACAGGAGATACATTTCAATACACTGTACTACACTCGATTAAAACATTATATTTCACACGCGCGCCCCAGGGCACCCCAGGGCACCTCTGCACCCATCTCCCAAAGGTGAAACCCCTTGGAGGCAGGCTTCTGCTCAAAGCGCCCTTAGCGGAGCCGCAGAACCGCTAGGAATGGAACTGGTCCAAGCAGCTTCTGGATGGAACTGGTTCAATGGAAGCTGTCAGGAATTGAACTGTTTCCACTTTGACATCATCCAAGCAGCTTCTGAAAGAGTCAGACAGCTTGAAGATGACCACCAGTAGCAAGGCCTCAAGTATACTGTGATACGGCGTGTGACACAGGAACCTGGAGTGTGCGGCGCAGCATTATTGCTGCTTTTAGTGCTCAGGCATGTTGAGGATGTCTGCGTGAGTTTGGATTTGGATGATTAAATCGGATTGGTGTTCACTAATGATTAATGGTTTCAAGGGTGAAGGTCTGAAATTGAAGGACAAGTTCACGGAAGCAGATTCTCAGCTAGGAAATCATGAAAAGGTTGAACGTCCGCGATGTGCAAAGAATAGGTTCAAAGCCCTTTCACACCCAGTTCGAACGCAAGAATGTATGAACATCACGCAGCACAAAAAGGTCCAGAAATCTCATGGAATCAGCAAAGCCCTGGAAGTCAGTCTTGCGAACCAAATTTTGCCTAGAATCAGCGAAGGAAAACAAAAATCGAACAATGGACCAATTCTCGATTTCTGAGATCATGTTATCATTGTTATCTTTATATATCTTTATCACAAACACAAACATCCCAAACATGATCTCTAATGATTTGAAAGCTGGGCCCCAGCTGGGCTCCTCAAAGTCAGATCAAATCAAATCGGGAACTCAGGACCAAACGTTGATGATGGTGGGCACAATTGCCATCGCACCACCCTGACAGTGTGACACAGGTGACACAGGTGCTGAGATATAGTGAGATAAAGTGATATATATATATATATAATATATATATACCAAGTCCATAAGTCTCGAGATTTGCAAATGATTGCTCTGCAAACAAGTTTTGATTTGACACTCCATGTAGAATCTAATGTTTGAATCCAATGTTTGAATCTAGTGTTTAACATTGTTTAACACTCCATACTCCATCAAAATAAGACTTGGATTCGCCATTCGCCCCGCCTTGAAGACCTCCAGCTGCTGCAGGTCCAGGCTGCATCGGATGTGTGCAAAGCCAGCCATGTGTGACAGGAGGGTCGCCCAACAAGCAATCTGCGGCGGTGCCAGTCATGATGCAGCTGGTTTTTCCATAGCATCTTTACGATTTGGGGGATTCTGAAAACATGTAAAAACCGTAGATAAAAAAGAGAAAAAAAAAGTGGTTGACATATAGTTACCACAGTAGATGTATTGGCATGGCACAGGCTGCTTCCAGTGAATTTTGCTGGAGTTTACCGTCAATTTTGTCATAGATGGGACAACTCAGAGGACATCCGAGAAAGCCACCTTAAAAGGGGGATGGATCAAAACCCCTTATACCATAGTTGGGGGGATGAACATCCAGAAATTCCAGCTGCTTTGGGCACCAGAATACCAGGCTTTTGAACCATAGCCGCTATAGCCAAATAAACTTGAAGCACTTCCAGCCTTCCGCTTGCGCTTTGTCTCAAAGGTTCCATCCTCTGAGGCGACCTGAAGTAGGCAGCCAGCAAAATCAGTGCATCGTCACAGCGCCGCGGGAAAAAACTTCGCCAAGCGACCAAGATTGTGCTTCTGGCCGGAAGGAGCCCCCAGAAACTCGTGGTTTTCCTCTCCAACTTGGGTCGTTCCTCGTCAGTCCTCAGGCGGCACAGGCGGCACAGGCGGCACAGGCGGCACAGGCGGCACAGGCGGCACAGGCGGCACAGGCGGCGCCCGGCGCGTGCCGTGACGTGGCATCGCTGACTCAGCTCCAGGCGAATAGGCCAAGTTAAACAGCACGCCATGAAGGGCGCCTCAGTCTCTCAGTCGTCGGACGGACCCAGCCCAGCCTAACTTCGTGACAAGGCACAGTAGAACACCAAGAATGTGAAATAAGCAAAGCCTTGGTTGAGCCCGTGTCGCAGCACCCGAAGACTTCTCAATTCCATTCAATTGGGCTTAAAGCCGACAAACATCCCAACCCATTCAGAAGGTGCGTGTAACACTGTGATGAATTTGGCTGAAACAGCTTGAGAATCCCGTGACGAACCCGTTCCGTTCTGCAGAGATGTTGTTTCTGCCCAAGAGACAAATCTTTGCAAGACTTTGATGAGATTGGCCAGTCAAATAGGTGTCGCTGACTCGATCGGACACACCAGTGATGCCCTGTCAGAGGGGTTGTCCGAAGCAGCATCTACGCATAGAAAGATTGAAATAGTTGGAGTTGGTGCCTCAAGAAGAGGGTTTGTCCAGAGGAACTCAGGTCTATCAAAAGCCTGGTTTGGAGTTGGACACTAGGATGGTGGTACAAGTAATGAGTAGGGTCGTGGAAACTGTAGAGAAGAATGGCCACATCCTGTCACATCATATCACATCGGTTGCCGAAATCGAGCCTGGAAGAGCAGTACAGAGACAAAGATTGAAACAGTCGCGTTGATTACCTGAAACAGTAAGGACAAATGTGAAGAATTGATGCTCAAGGAGACTAGCTGTGCAATGACCACTTGAGCATCTCCGAAGTGGAACCAGCTCTAATCGAGGTCTATTCTCCATCTGAGAGGAGACAGCATACTGCGTTGGGCCATTTCGGTTGAGGATTCCATTTTCTTGCCCACTTTCAAACAAATAAACCAGGCATGTACAGTGAAAAGTCGTAAAAGCTGTCACACCATGTAGAGAAGTGTCTTTCCAGGTGTGATCTCGAATGTCCATGTCCGGGTGATTCCTTGGCAGCACTGAAGTATGCGATCCCAGCCACTCTGAATTGGAGCGTTGCACGGTGTGAAAAATCACACGCCAATCAAGTCTGAAAACATCCCGCAACAAGCGGGAACCGTGCAGGGAATCAACATCGCTTCAACCAAGGGGCACCAAGTAAAAGAGAGACATCACAAATGTAACTCCTCCAAGTAGGAAGATTGCTGCAGTGAGGTCCTTCGGCTTCACCTGGCTGGTCCCCCGGCGTTTCCAAAAAGAGTTCTGGATTGAGAAAGGGGCAAAAGGAGGAAAGGAACATAAAGGAACTATGTATTTGCTAGATAAAACAATTCTTAGCCGCCTTAGCCAGTGTCTTTTGTTGGAATTAGTTCAATGTACATGTTCTGCCGGATTCTATCGACCTTAGGCTTCTCAGAGTTCACTCATTTGTTCCCAATATCGGTAAAGCCAAATGGAAAAATGTGCAAGTACATGCCGAAACATATGAATCTTATGCAAAAACTGCATAAACTTTTTCGCTTTCACCTTGTGTTTCTATCGCGGCAAGCCGTGCCTCCTCGTGGTCCTCCATCACAATGCCATCCATCTCAAGCTCCTGCCACGGCCACATCCCGAGTTGGCTCGATTTTCTGAAGCAGCAAAGCCGTGTGGAATCGAGACGTCAAAATGTACCGTTTACATCATTTCTATCATTTCTATCATTTCTATCATTTCTATCATTTCTACATCTCATTGAATTTCCAAACCAGAGTGGAGCTCCTTCTCGTTTGCTCCAATTTCCTGTGCAACGTAAAACAGGACTGCATTCAGCAGCCAGTGGAAAGCTGGCATGTTGAAAACAAGGGTTCGGAATGCGGGCTTGCCCTGGCTTGCCATATTGCAGAGCAGTGGAATGGTCGTCATTGAAGCAGCAACAAACAGCACTTTGCTGAATTGAAGCGATATACTAGAAAGGGGGAAAAACACTGTAATACAATCAAATATATTGAGCCAGTGTTTTTTGGCATTGGACTCTGGTGGTAACAAACGCAGACAACAAGACGAATTGTGCTGCCTTGTGTGCGGCAAGCATTGCCAGAAGAAGGGGCAAAAGCCAGAAAGACCGCTGGAGCATGCCTGAACAGCCGAGCCATCCAGCGAAGAGACCCTGGTACACGAATCAAAATAGTTGTCGCAAAGAGATTTGAGTCCTCTCAAGTATGGTATTACAATATATTATGTAATATTATATACAATTGGTGAATTGGTATTTGACCAACGTTCGAAGCAAATCACAGACTTTGATAAACACAATGGCTGGTTCCTGATGGCCATCTCCTGGTGGCGATAATGAAATTTTGAGTCCAGCGTCACATGCTAAGTTGTGCATAGCCATATACGAAACTGGGCTATATTATAGGGTGTAGTATATATATATATCGATGTAGAGTATTGATGTAATGCATGTAATGCATGTAATGTATGTAAGGTAACGTAATGTATGTAATGTATGTAATGTATGTAATGTATGTAATGTATGTAATGCATGTAATGTATGTAATGTATGTAATGTATGTAATGCATGTAATGCATGTAATGCATGTAATGTATGTATGTAATGTATGTATGTAATGTATGTAAGGTATGTAATGCATGTAATGCATGTAATGCATGTAATGCATGTAATGTATGTAAGGCACGTAATGTATGTAATGTATGTAATGTATGTAATGTATGTAATGTATGTAATGTATGTAATGCATGTAATGCATGTAATGTATGTAATGTATGTAATGCATGTAATGCATGTAATGCATGTAATGCATGTAATGTATGTATGTAATGTATGTAATGTATGTATGTAATGTATGTATGTAATGTATGTAAGGTATGTAATGCATGTAATGCATGTAATGCATGTAATGCATGGTATTGTATGTAATGTATGTAAGGTATGTAATGTATGTAATGTGTGTAATGTATGTAATGTGTGTGTAAGTATCTGTAAGTATCTGTAAGTATCTGTAAGTAGCTGTAAGTATCTGTAAGTACCTGTAAGTATGTGTAAGTATGTCGGTCTGTCTGTCCGTCTGTCTGTCGGTCTGCATGTCTATGTATGTATGTCAATTGTGAGCACAATGCCTGTATGTCAGTGTATGTATGTCAGTGTATGTCTGTCAATGTATGTCTGTCAATGTATGTCTGTCAATGTATGTATGTCAATGTATGTCAATGTATGTCAATGTATGTCAATGAATGTCAATGTATGTCAATTTATGTCAATGTATGTTAATGTATGTCAATGTATGTCAATGTATGTCAATGTATGTCAATGTATGTCAATGTATGTCAATGTATGTCAATGTATGTCAATGTATGTGTATGTATGTGTATGTATGTGTATGTATGTGTATGTATGTGTATGTATGTACGTACGTACGTATGTATGTATGCATGCATGTATGTATGCATGTTTGTATGTTTGTATGTTTGTACGTTTGTATGTATGTATGTTTGTTTGCTTGTTTGTTTGTTTGTTTGTTTTTGTTTGTTTATGTTTTTGTTTGTTTTTGTTTGCTTGTCTGAATGTTTTTTTGTTTGTTTGTGTGTTTGTGTGCTTGTACGCACAGTATGGTATTGTATGGTATGGTATTGTATGGTATCGTATCGTATGGTATGGTATGGTAAGTCTGTATGTCTGTCTGTCCGTATGTCTGTATGTTTGTTTGTATGACTGTGTGTGTGTGTCTCTTTGCGTCTCTGTGTGTCTCTGTGTGTCTCTATGTCTCTCTATGTGTATCTATGTCTATCTATGTGTATGTATGTGTATGCATGTGTATATATGTGTATGTACGTGTATATGTGTATATATATATATATGTGTGTGTGTATACATTTGTATGCATATGTATGCATATGTATGCATATGTATGCATATGTATGCATGTATCTATGTATCTCTGTACCTGTGGATCTGTGGATCTGTGGATCTATGTATCTTTCTATGTATGTATGTATGTATGTATGTATGTATGTATGTATGTATGTATGTATGTATGTATGTATGTATGTATGTATGAGACGTGATCCGGAGAGAGGTCTGCAGAGTTGGTTTCAATCGACGAAACCCGAAACCCGAAACCCGAAACCGACAGCGAAAGTTGGTTTCAATCGACGAAACCCGAAACCCGAAACCCGAAACCCGAAACCGACAGCGAAAGTTGGTTTCAAGCGACGAAACCCGAAACCCGAAACCCGAAACCGACAGCGAAAGTTGGTTTCAATCGACGAAACCCGAAACCCGAAACCCGAAACCCGAAACCGACAGCGAAAGTTGGTTTCAATCGACGAAACCCGAAACCCGAAACCCGAAACCCGAAACCGACTCGAATCCGACTTTTGGGTGGCTCTCCGGATCGGAACTCGTATGTATGTATGTATGTATGTATGTATGTATGTATGTACGTCTGTATGTCTGTATGTATGTATGTCTGTATGTATGGATCCCTTAACTGGGTAATTTGCAATGGTGATTTCCCACGTAGTAAGAGGGATGTCACTTGATTCTACCTTCGCAGACTTCGACAGAGACGCCAAATACGCATCTGAGACTTTCCCTTTCATACATTGATTCAGGGATTTCCTGGTGGTTTCGAGTTTCGTTCAGTGCGCCTGGATGCCAGTGGTTTGCGAAACTGTTCTCTCTTGTACTCTCGAGTATCTTGAAAATTTACACTGCTAAGCAGGAAGTATCTTTATATTCTCAGACCCTTCAGCCCAAAAGCTAGTAACGAAAACACAACAGAACGTTGACCAGTGTACTGGTCGCACAACTCAGAACTAACAGCCCAAAGCCAACAAACCTGACTCCGCACCTCCCTTCATGATGTCGATATTCTGAGATGGCGCAATCTACTGACCATTCAAGTGTGACAGTTCAAGGCTGACAGTGTAGTGATAAGGTTGCTTTGAAAGATGGTGGAATGGGCACAGAATGTGAAAGTACAGTACAGTGCAGTCCCTGCTGATGTGCGAATTGGAACCACAAGAGCATGTGTATCCGGTGACCGCGGGGAAGGTCACTCTGGACCGCTCTGAGCCAGAGGAACAGGAAAAACAAAGACATGCGTGCAGAGATTTTGGACAGCAAATATCACCAAGCCGAAATCATATTATAGATAAGAATATATAATACTTAATCATGAACATGAAAAGAATTACATTTCAAGAGAAACATGTCGACATTGGCCTGGAAAGAGTTCAAAGATCAAACTGCCTACTATTACGCTGTTTCCAGCGTTCATTGAGAAAACACAACATGTCTGAGACCTCCTCCCCCTGGCAAAACTAAATCACAATAGGACACAAAATTAACCCCCAGACTGTCCAAACTGGTTGGTTTTATACTAAAGCAGAACGGTACTAAAAAAATGACTCGACCGGTACAAGTCAACCCTGAAGTGACTCATCGCCTGCTATTCAAGACTTCCTCCCTAGCAGTGGGCAGGTCGCCAAGAGTTAGAAGACAGGCGACCTTTTCAGGCGCGGACATGAAGACGTCTAAAAATATGGGACAGCACAAGAAAAATCTCATTCCTGTCGAATCCGGCAAATTATCCAGATAAACCGTGCGTTCTCAAACTGCCAAAACAAAGCAAAACAACACAACTAACATCTGACTCAGCCTGACTCAGCCTGAGTTGGCAACTCCATGTTGCCAAGGTTCTCCCGTCAGACTTCGTAGACGCTGCACTACTGCACTGCTTTCACTGAGACCATTCAGCTCAGCCTGCAGCTTCCAATCGAAAAAGAAAGCAAAACATCTTGATGTGGCTGGCTAATCATATAGGTTTTCATATAGGTTTTCATATAGGTTTGTCTGATTTGAAAATATTGTGCCCACCAAAAGATTTGTCACCAGTGTCTGTATCTACATGCCATGTAGGTTTGAGGCCGCCTTCAGGCGTTCATCCCTGCACCGTTGCTGCTCCTCCAAGAGCCTCTCTTCGTCAACCTCGCCATGAAATATTGACGATCCACAGCTGATTACCGGAATTAGTAGTTCTTACTGAAAACCTCATGGGATCTCATGGGGTACAGTGCGACCAAGACATCTGACCTTCTTGCACTGAACAGATCAAAGTTGTTGGTATTTCTTGTGTTTCCAACGAGATTTCAAAGCGGCTTTGCACAAAACTGTAACCATGGCCGCCATGGCCACTGTCACACACCCATCTCGCAATGCCAGCCAGCTGCCTGTGTCTTCACCACAGATTCAAGGTCTAGTTGCCCAGACTGGTACATCTGAGCCTTGGCTGTGCACAGGAATCAAAATCATTCCATCCACGTCTGGATTTTTGACAGGAAAAGGAAAGAGCCTCCCCAAGGAAGGGAAAGAGAGAGGAGAGAGAGAGATAGAGAAAGAGCAAAGATCCCACCTTGACACAAAGATAGAGAAAGAAGGGAAACGAAGCAAAGTCAACTCCAACAAAGTCCCGCACCCATTGTTTGCGCCGCTGCTCAAAGCGCTGACGGGCCGTGCTGTTCAATTCAGGCTCCTGGTATGTGTCAACACTTTTCCATGCAATAGGCTTTGCAATCAGATTTTAATCATTCCTGGGGTTTTGGACTAGAAAAAAATTGTTGTTTTATGTTTGTGTGATACATACACATCATAATCTACTATACATTTCGCTCATACATTACATTCCATTCCATTGCATTGCATTACATTACATTACAGTCCATTGCATTGCATTACATTACATT